ATCTCCTAAAGATACACAGTAACATATCCCCTCATCTCCTAAAGATACACAGTAATATATCTGACCCCATCTCCTAAAGATACACAGTAACATATCCCCCATCTCCTACAGATACACAGTAACATATCTGCCCCATCTCCTAAAGATACACAGTAACATACCTGCCCCCATCTCCTAAAGATACACAGTAGTATATCTGCCCCCATCTCCTACAGATACATAGTAACATATCCCCCCATCTCCTAAAGATACACAGTAACATATCCTCCCCCCCAGTCTCCTAAAGATACACAGTAACATATCTGCCCTTACATCTCCTAAAGATACACAGTAACATACTTGCCCCCACATCTCCTAAAGATACACAGTAACATATCTGCCCCCCTAGCTCCTAAAGATACACAGTAACATATCCTCCCCCCCCCCAGTCTCCTAAAGATACACGGTAACATATCCCCTCATCTCCTAAAGATACACAGTATCATATCCTGCTGCATCTCTTAACGATGCACAATAAGATACCCTCTGTGCACATAACCTACTGCCATGCATGGGCTCCGACTCCCAGCTCTGCCAAGTGTGTCTGAGCAGATCTGTGCTTGAAACCGGCTTTCCCCAGCTGCTTTTCCGGAAGTCAATCTCTCGGCCTTTCTTCTGAAGATGCCTGGGTGCACTGAGATCTCCATCCTTCTAGTCAGGAGCCAAGTGCGGAAGGATTGCCTTCTTGGACAGACACTGCATGTCACTGCTTCTCCTGAAGTCTAGCCTTTGGCTCCACAGTTAGCCCGTGCCCTGTGGGTCCCAGGCTGCCGCAGGCTCCGCTGCAGGACCGTGGATCGGCAGGTGGCTGGGGGAGAGCTTGCAGTGGGAAGGCTGGCTACTGCAGACTGCCTGAACCCTGCAAGCTAACTGGGCCAGTCCTACAGGAGCTCAGGCTGCCCTGGGCTTCCTGGGCACCTGGAGATTCAGGGACTGTCACTTGTCAACCCCTTGGGGCAGCTTCCCAAACTTCTAGTCACTGTTGAGTGTCATTGCACCGGCGCCAGCTCTCAGGGCCCCCACATCTGCCAGAAGGAAGCGTTGCTCCTGGTGGCATAGTGGTTACGAGTTTGGCTGCTCACCACAAAGTCAGCAGTTCAAAACCACCAGCCACTCTGTGGAAGAGAGACGAGGCTGTCAACTCCCGGAAACCCGCAGGGGCAGTTCCTTTCACCCTGTCTTGTAGAGTCGCGCTGTGAATTGGCACTGACTCTGTAGCAGTGATGTTTTGAGTGAGTGGGTGCCTCTTCATGAGTGAGCAGGGGTCGCTCCCAGTTGGGATGGGACCTGTGGGTGCTGAGGGCCTCCCAGCCCAGGGGGCCTACCTCCCAGCGCTCTCAGACCCTGTCTCTGTTGTACTCTAGAGTTTTCATGAGCCGATTTTCAGAAATGGGTCGCCAGGCCTTTCTTCCTAATCTGGCTTAGTCTGGAAGCTCCGCTGAAACCTGCCCACACTGGGGGACCCTGCAAATATTGGGGGTCCCCGTGGGGCAGCTCCTAGCACCACAGACGCACAGGCAGTGGGCTGGGGGCTCTGGGCACTGGTCATGCTAAAAACTGGTGTAACCACTAGGGAGGTGGCATTGGTGACGGGGGTGATTCCTGCCCTGCCAGGCCCCATCTGTCTTCCTGACAAGCTGAGACACTGAGTGAGCATGGAGACCTTTCAGAATGCCCTCCTTGCCCACCCCTAACCCCATGCCCGGCGGCCCATGAACTACAGCCTCTTGGCTGGGAGGGGAAGGGGGTCTCCGTCGTGTGTGTAGGGGGGAGCGGCTAGTGGCCCTTCTTTCTAATGCGAAGGCCAGCAGCATCTACGTTTTCTCGTGTGTCTTTGCCACGCGGGAGGCTCGTGGCTTTGAGAAGCGACAGGAGAGTCACAAGGGGTATGACATCCTTGTCTTCTTTGTCCGATGTAAGCTGGGCACATCCACCCACAGATGCTCACGTGTGCAGTGTGTCCGGGGGAGCAGGTGACTACTGTCATCCCTCTCAGCCCACGGGGCAGGGCAGTGCTTGCTGTCCCTCACCGGCCTGTGTGTGCTCCATGGAGCAGTGTCCTCTGGCACACTGTCCCCAAACCGTGAACCTACGCACAACCCACAGTGACGAGCCAGCCAAATAGAGCCAGAACCAGGTATGTTACAAATCCCAGGGTACGGTCAACGGTCCACACCCAACCCCTCACAGCTGAGCCAAGCAGTGACATCACAATCAACAAAGCAAAGGTCAACGTGGCCAAGGGCCCTGGTCTCCCGTGGGTCCACAATCAAAGCGCACGGAAGCCATAGTCAGGAGACCAAAGGACACGTCGCATGGGGCAAACCTGCTGCACAAACCTCTTTACTTTGAAGAGCAAGGAGGGGACTTGGAGGGCTGAGAGGAGCCTGACCGGAGCCACGGTCTTGTCAGTCAAGGAACCTCCTGTCCGTGTGAACACTGGGCTCTGAATGAGGAAGGGCCCAGAAGAAGGGATGCAGTTGAATGGTGGGGCTGGAGGAGAAAACCGAAGGACCCCGGACAGCCTGAAGGACAGACTGGGCTGTCTTGGAGGAAGGACGACCAGAGCGCTCCTTAGAGGTAAAGATGGCGAGACTTGGTCTCACATACTTAGGACATGTGGTCAGGAGAGACCCGTCCCTGGAGAAGGGCACCGTGCTTGGTGAAGCGGAGGGGCAGCGAGAGAGAGAGGAAGGCTCTCGAGGAGGTGGACGATGGGCTCAGACAGAGGGACAGTTGTGAGGACGCTGCAGGAGTGGGCGGGGTTTCGTTCTGGGTGCACATGGTCGATTCAGTGGGCGCTCACTTGGTGGCACCTAACACCACCTCCACGGTGGTTCATAACCGCCAGTGGGTGCTGCTTTGAGGTGGCGTGGACACTATTATTGCTGGCTCAGGGTATTGGAGATGCTGAAGGAGTCCCTTCACACTGTTTAATGCCTGGAAGCCCAACAAGCCCAGCCCCCTGCCATAGAATCCAAATGGTCTTCACCAAAACCCACTGCCACCAGGGTGATTCTGACGCACAGCGACCCCTATAAGGGGTTCCCAAGACTGTGCCTCTTGAACGGAGCAGCAGCCAGCCTCACCTCTCTCCCTCAGCTCAGGGCATGAGTTTGAACTGCCGACCTTGAGGTCAGCGGTCCAGCGCCAAGCCTGCAGCAGCACCAGCTCTCTGGCTTAAGCATAAGACACCGGGCTCACTGCCACAGAGTCGGTGCCAACTCAGACAGACCCAGCAGGACAGGGTAGAAGCGCCACTCTTAGGTTTCTGAGACTGTAACTCGATGGGAGTAGAGAGCCTCGTCTTTCTCCCACCGAGCGGCCGGTGGTTTCAAACTGCTGCCCTGCAGGGACTGGATTCCAACGCGGAGGACAGAGAAGCACCACCCCCTGGGGTTCCGAAGGCTGTCAGCCTTCCTGCTGTGGATTCCAACCTCAGCCCTTTCAGTTCGTAGTCGAGCGCTTTAACCCCTGAGCCACCAGGGATGCTGTAGGAAGGCGCACCACGTACTCTCCATACGGAGACAGCACCTGACTGACGACGGACATTTGAGAGGAGCCCCTGCCCTGTTCTGACTTCCGCATAGATTCAACTTACAGGGAGACGGGGGGGGGGGATGAAGCTCCCTCATCTCGGGGGACCTGCCTGTCACAGGGCTTGGTGGAGCCCTTTGTTCACACAGAAACCCTCTTGTGACATATCCTTCTGAGGTCCCCTGCCTGGCTTTCCTCTGTGCCAGCCCCTTCTCGGGTTGCCTGCTCTCACGCCCGCCCGCCCAGTGGCTGCAGCTGCGCCTGCTGTCTCATCTGCACACAGATCACATTGCTCCAAGAACCACCCTGACCCTTGGCCAGGTTACCAGCAAGGGTCTGACAACCAGAGCTCCCAATGGCTTCATCAGGGCTGTGGCCGGCTAGCCCTGGCCCTGGGCCCGGAGCCCCTGCCCCTGCCCCTGCCCCTGCCCCTGCTCTGGTGGGCGGGCTCCCTGTGTGCTGCGGGTGGTGGAATCACAGGTGCAGGTCGAACCCCAGCGTTTCTCTGACTGGCCCCACCCCCACCCCCAGGAAGTCCTCACGGCCACTCTGGACCTGGAGGATGTGCGCAGCTACCGGGCAGAGATCTCCTCACGGAGCCTGGCGGTATGTTCTCTCCTGGCCCTGCGTGGCCTTAGAGACCCGGCGCCTGTCCACCGGCTCTGCAGGGGCCGGGAATGTGGGGGAAGGGGAGGTAGTGAGACACCTTGCTGGCTGCAGCCACCTCTGGGTAGGCAGGCCCCGCACTCTTGGGGTTCAGGATAAGACCCAGTCTCCCCTGCCTCCCCCAGAAGCCCAGAGGGTGGAGGGGTTCAGGCTCCCAGGTGGCCAACACAACACGGACAGGGCAGAAACCACCAGGACAGCAGAGACAGACCCGGGAGGACTGCACCCAGCATGCCAGCGTGAACATTTCTGAGCTGTGGCTCGGGGTCCAGGACTGTGCATTCTGATAGAGGTGGCCCAGGGCGGGAGAGGGAGTGGGGTGGTCTCTGCAGTGCAGCAGGGTGGAAGCAGGACACCGTTTGAGAACCCTGGGCTGCCCTCCATGGCGTTTCCATCACTAGTCTCAGGGGTTCCGGTTCCTCCGCATCCCCACCAACACTTGCTGTTATCAGGTTTCACCTTCCTAGCCATCCTTGATGGGTGGGGAGGGCTGCCTCGCTGCGGTCTGGGCTCATGCACCCCCATGGCTGGTTGAGTCTGTTCCCTGAGGGGACCCAGGGGCTCTGCCAGGCCTCGGGAATGACAAGGACATGCTGTGGCATTTTTACTGCCATCGCGTGGATGCCAACTCACAGCGACCCCACAGGACATGGTAGATCTGCTCCTGCGGGTGTCCAAAACTGTGGCTCTTTATGGGAGTCAAAAGCCTCTTTCTCCTGAGGAGCGGCTGGTGGTTTTGAACTGCTCACCTTGAGGTGCCACAGTGGGTATCAGTTGGGTTGTAGACCCCAAGTTCAGCCATTTGAAACCCCCGGCCGCTCCTCGGGAGAAAGACGGGGCTTTCTACTCCAGTAAAGAAGCGCAGTCTTGGAAACCCACAGGGCCAGTTCTCCCCTGTCCTGTGGGGTCGCTGTGAGCTGGCATCGCCTCGATGGCAGTGAGAGTGAGTGGCATCCTCGTCACCAGGCCAGCCGAGTGGAGCCCTTCCCCCGAGTGAAGGTGGACTTTGCCCTCTCAAGCCGGGATGACCTGCTGCTGCCGCTGTCAGAGCCCAGCCAGTGGAAGCACCACAGTCCTGCTGAGGAGATAAGGTAGCCAGCCTGCCCATCTGCCAGCCCAGGGCCCTGCCAGGGTCTGCATCCTGCCAGGGGCAGGTGGGGAGGGGAGGGCGGCATGGAGCATCAAGAGGACTGAAGAACCAGTTCAGATGGGGGCGGGGTTCCTCAGCCAGGGGGGGCCCTGCCTTGTTAGTGGTTGAGTTCACCTCCCTGCTGGGCCCCTTCCTTGCTGTATAGCCTCGGCCAAAGCGCCTGCCCTCTCTGAGTCTCAGACTCTCCCTTCAGGGCCCTGGCGATTGGACGCACCTGCCCCAGGGTTTCGGTGGGAACTGAGACAGCTCATTCAGAGGCAGGAGGAGACAGAGCCTGGAGGAGCTCAGAGCTCGGGCAGCATTAGCTACTCCTCGGGGCTCCCCTGTGCTCTTTGGGGCCCGCAGCCGCTAGGTGAACTGACCAGATGTGGCCCGGGAGGTCCCAGGCAACCTGCTGTGGTGCAGCTGTGGGGGGAGCAGGCTGTCACTCCCCAGAGGAAAGCAGTGCAGGCAGACCTCGCTTTACAGCCCTTGCTGAGCGAGTGGCCACAGGGCCATGGCCAGCCTGCATCCAGAGAGGCTAGGAACACCGTTTCCCCAGGGACACGTACTCACTTCCTATCCCCGGCCACCCTCGGGTCCCCGCCACCCCCAGCTCCAGCTTCACAGAGCTGCCTGGCACTACGCAGACGGCAGTGGCGTGTAGATGGAGCCCTGACACGCAGGCCACAAAACCGACTCACGGCCGGCTCCCAGTGACCGGACGGGCCCAAGTAGAACAGCCCCTGCGTGTTCCTAAGACTGTGACTCTGTACTGGAGTAGACAGCCCCGTCTTTCTCCCAAGGAGCAGCTGGTGGCTTTGAACCACTGACCTTGTGGTTATCAGCCCAGTGAGTAGCCCACCGTGCCACAAAACCCTGATCAAACTCACTGCCTCTGATTCAATGCCGATTCACAGCCACGCTACAGGACACAGTAGAACAGCCAGCCCCTGTGTGCTCCCGAGACTGACTCTGACCTTGCCGTTAGCAGCCCAAGCAGGGCTCCTTGCAAACACACAGGGACAAAGGCTGCGTGACTCACATTTTCCAGGCGGTGTGGAACCGAGGTCTGCCCAGACCAGGCACCGGTCCCCCAGGGCCAGAGGGCCAGTCCCTGCAGCCTCAGGGCAGGTGGTCCGCTCTCGCCCTTCCTGCCTAGAACAAGTGCAGAAGTGAGGCTGGCTGGGGTGACGTGACATGCACACAGGAGCAGCACAGAGGGGGCGGTTTGGCCAGAAGCAGGACCGGTGCCCCGATATGGGAGGGAATGAGGTGGCAGGGAGGCTGGGTTCCTGGTCGGCAGCCTGGCTGCCTTCCACACCTAACGCCCTGACTGCTTGCTTTCCAGCCTGGGGCCCGCGTGCTGGCTCTGGGACTTCCTACGGCGCAGCCAGCAGGTGAGAACCCAGATTCCCTGCAGCCTTCTCTCCCACCCGGGCCGTGGTTCTGTTCCTGCCGCCCCCTTCTCTTCTCCTCTTCGTTTGGGACTAATTGTTAGCTTTTGGGTCTTGTAAACCGGACCCTCACCCACTGACCCACAGAGACCCAGTCGAGGATTCCCCAGGCTGTACATCTTTATGGCGGAGAAGCCTCCTCTCTCTCCCTCAGAGTGGCTGGTGGGTTTGAACTGCCGACCTTGCAGTTTGCAGCTCCGTGCCTAACCCACAGTGCCACCGGGCCATGGGTCCTCACAGGGAGGTGGTTCTGGGAGAGCAGAGAGCAAAAGGAAGGGGTACCCCTTTCTGTTGATTTGTGAGCCACTCCACGATTCTGCTACCAGGGGGTCTTGGGGTCCCCTGGTCTCTGGGGAAATAAAGAATTTGGGTTTTACTCAGCATTTTTCTCCCAGGCTACCTGGGGCCCCACTCTCGTGACGCCGTGGTCAGCAACAGTTTCTTTCTAGAGCAAGCCCACCTAGACGCCCATCTGCCTTGAGCTGGGGGGGGGGGGGCTCACCGAAGTGGGGCCAGGCTCTGGCATGTGATGCCCGTTCCTCCTGGGACAAGGTGACCATGCGCATCTGAGACTCAATCAGTGGGGTGTCAGTGGGCGCCCCTTCCCAAAGACACCCCCTCCCGCCATTTTCCTTGAGAATACCTGTTGAGGAAAGTGGGGGGCAGGGCTGTCCCTCTCCATGGGTGTCCTAGAGGCTGGCTGGGTGGCCTGGTGGAGCAGAAGGTGACTGGTAGCTGCTCCTAGGCTCAGCTCACATACCCTACCCTCTGCTGCCTCTGGTTGCCCCCTTGCAGGGGGGGTTCCTCCTGCCCCTAAGCGGCGGGCTGGACAGCGCGGCCACCGCCTGCATCGCCTTCTCCATGTGTCACCTGGTCTGCGAGGCCGTCAGGAATGGAAGTAGGTGTCATAGCAGCTGGCCCGAGGGTGGTCCCTGGAATCTGCTCTTGGCTGCCTGGCCGAGGAGCTAGAGTGGGCAAGCCAGGTGCCCTGTCCGGGCCTCGGGACCCTTGCAGACGCCCTCAGATGTGACAGTGCCAGGGCTGAGCCCCAAGCCTGTGGACAGTAAGGCTGAGGAACCACCGCCCCGCCCCTCAGCCTTGGGCCTGCTCAGCAGGGGGCCCCTGTCACACCTGCTGTCCACTGCCTTCGGCTGGCTCAGCTGTTCCCACCCTGTGCTCTGACGACCCAGCCTATGAACGCACAGGGAACGGGTGATGGCACTTAGCTCAGGGTGAGCAGCCTGCACGGCCACCACCCGATGGTCCGAGGAGGCTGGCTTGTGGCTGTGATGACAGGCACTTCAGTAGAGCTCAGAGACTCAGGCAGACCAGGAAGAAAGGCCTGGCATTCTACTTCCAAAACTTAGCCTCTGAAAACTATGGATCACAAAGGTCCTGCCTCCCCAAGACCGTGGGGCGGAGTGGGACGGGGCACTGCTTCCCGCTGAGTGCGTGGGGTCGCCAGCTCTAGGGACGGACTCCGGAGCAGGGCAGCAGACTGAGGGGTCGGATGCGCACAGGCCAGACGGAGCTTCTGTGCTTTCAGACCAGCAGGTCCTGGCTGACGTCCGGACCATCGTGGACGAGGCTACCTACACCCCCCAGGACCCCCGAGAGCTCTGTGGACGGTTGCTGACCACCTGCTACATGGCCAGTGAGAATTCTTCCCGGGACACGTGCCAGAGGGCTAGGGAGTTGGCCCAGCAGATTGGGAGGTAAAACAGGGACACTCTTGGGGGACAGGGATACTCAATGGGGGTGGGGGACACCCAGTGAGGGATGGGGACACTCAGTGGGGGCAGGGATGCCCAGTGGGAAAAGGGACATTCAGTGGGGAAGGGACACCCAGTGGGGGGTGGGGACACTCAGTGGGGGATGGGGACACTCAGTGGGGGCAGGGATGCCCAGTGGGGAAAGGGACATTCAGTGGGGAAGGGACACCCAGTGGGGGGTGGGGACACTCAGTGGGGGATGGGGACACTCAGTGGGGGAAGGGACACCCAGTAGGGGGCAGGGACACTCGGTGGGGTCAGGGACATTCAGTGGGGACAGTGGCCGACAAAGGCCAGAGCCACCAATAGGCTTGTCTGCAACCACACTGTTGGTTGTGCGAGGTGCCACCGAGTCAGTCTCCACCCAGAGTGACTCTCCTGCAGCCACCACGTGGGTGTCAGCATCGAGCCCGCCGTGAAGGCCATCGTGGGCATCTTCAGCCTGGTGACCGGGAAGTTCCCTCTGTTTGCAGCGCATGGGGGCAGCAGCAGGGAGAACCTGGCTCTTCAGAACGTCCAGGTGTGTCAGTTGGGGGCACACCTGGGTACTGTCACTTAGGGGTCTTCACCTGAAGGCTGTCTGTCACCTGGGGTCACTCACCTGGGAGTCATTCATACTGCCAGGTTCTGGGCAGCAGCCCAGTGCCTCCTGAGAGACATGGGCCAGACAGCCTAGGACACACTTTAAGGTGTGTGTCTGTGTGGTTGTGAGTGTGTGTGGTCACACATGTGCATGCACAGATGTGTGAGTGCGTGAATGTGAGTGTGTGTGTGAGCGGGTGAAATAGCATGAGTGTGTGTGTGAACACGAGCGCAAGAGTGTGAGTGTGTGCGGGAGACCATGTGTATGTATGCATGCATGTGTGTTTGAACATGTGAGCATGTGCACATGGGGGTACGTTTTCAGCTGCCAGTTGCGGCACTTGGACTCCCTCTTGGCTGTGGCTGCAGGTTGGCAGTGGGTGGAGAGAGAAGAATGGGGACCCAGAGCCTGTGCCTCCCTCTGTCTGTCCCTTCCTCCTGCCCTGTGCCCTCCCTCTGTTGCCCCTCTCCCTGCTGCCCACAGAAATGCCACAGGAGTGACTTCGGTGGCCCAGGTGGCTTTGGGCCTGGGCTGTCATCCGCCCCAGGGCCCGGCCTCCCACCCTTAAAGAGCAGGGTCCTTCTGAGCCTGCAAGGGCTCTCTGGGGCTTCAAGACCCTCCCTCCTTCCCCTAAGGTTGCTGGCGAGACTTCTACCCAAGAGCCTCCCAACATGTCACTCCTCCTTCGTCCAGGCCCGGGTCCGAATGGTGCTCACCTACCTGTTTGCTCAGCTGAGTCTCTGGTCTCGGGGTGCCCGCGGGGGCCTGCTTGTGCTCGGATCTGCCAACGTGGACGAGAGGTGTGTGGCCCAGTGGTGCGTGGTGACAGGCTCCTTGTGTGGATGTCACATTCACAGGTGGCCAGGCCTTTCCTCCATGATGCCACCAGGTGGGGTGGGGGGTGGGGTCGCTCCTCCAGTCTTCAGGTGAGCAGCCGAGGCAAACCCTGTCCACACCAGGGGGCAGATTTCTCCCAACCAGCACACCCTCGGGGCATCAAGAAGGCCACCATCAACCCATCGCACGGGTGGGGAGGCCGAGGCCCAGCCTGGAACTCCTTCAGGGTACAGACAGCAGAGATTGGCCTGGCTCCTGAAGCAGTGTGGGAGGGGCTTCTGGCCCAGGTGTGCTTTCTGGCAGGCCAGGAGGAGGGGTGGGATGTGCTGTTCTGGGCGTGAGGCATCGAGCTGACCAAGCAGGCCTGTGAGTATGAGTGGGCGGGTTAGGAAGCCCCCAGGAGGTGCGGAGGGGCTGCTGCGGGGTCTGCAGCATGGTCAGGAACCGCCGTGGGTCCTGGACAGAGTGGGAGCCAAAGGTGGAGCTAACCTCACAGTCTCAGGGCACCGACTGGCTTGGGAGTTGCTGAAACCATCGCTGTGCAGCCAGGACCACTGGGCCCGCAGTGGCTGCCTTGCCTGCGTGTACATCGCGCCTGGAACGGTGGACAGTGTTAGTGTCATCGTCGTCGCCCTCAGCGCCATCGCGGGCAAGCGCTCTTCAGACGCTGCCTCCTTGGCCTGTGAGCACACATCCCAGAGGAGACCCGGCCCTGCGGCTCCAGTTCCGAGGCCCTTAGGAACAGGTGTCAGGACGTGGGCGGCAAAGATGCAGAATGTGTCCTGTGTGGGAGAACGGAAAGCCTGAGGCAGGCCCTCTCCCGAGTCAGAAGCGTGCGCCTGGAACCACTTTTGGATCAGGCCTCAAGATGGGAGAATCTTTGGGGGTCAGATTAGTGACTCAGCATGTCCAGCTCCCCTGTGGGAATTACCGCAGAGAATCTTGCTGCAGAACACACAACACACGATAAGCCCAGAAGAAGGGGACCCCCACAGTCCCTGATGCTAATGATGCCCAAGTCCACACGATTTTCACTGGCTGGGATTTGGAAGTCAATCACCGGGCCTTTCTTCCTAGTCTGTCTTCATGTGGAAGCTCCAGCGGGCCCCGTTCAGCACCCTGGCAGCAAGCACTCTCCCAGTGCCAGGGGAGCCGAGCATGGACCCGAATCTCTCTCCCACAGCCTCCTCGGCTACCTGACCAAGTACGACTGCTCCAGTGCCGACATCAACCCCATTGGGGGCATCAGCAAGACCGACCTGCGGGAGTTTGTACTGCTGTGCACGGAGCGCCTCCAGCTGCCTGCCCTGGCCAGGTGAGCACCCACCCCTGCGCAGCCACCCCCAGCTGACCCCCTGCCCAGGTGAGTACCACCCCTGCTCAGCTGCCCCCAGAGCTCCCTGTTGTCAGCCCAGATCAATCCTGCCAGCTTTGAGGCTCCACAATTTGCCCTCCTCCTTCGCTTGGCAGGAGCCCTGGTGGCTCAGTGGTTAAGGCATTGAGTTGGCTAACCATCAGGTGGGGGATACCCCCCCCACCGCCCCCCACCACCCAGCTGCTCCTGCGGAGAAAGACAGGGCTCCCGCTCCCATAAAGACCGACAACCTTGGACATGCCCGGGGGCTAGCCTCTGCTGTCCTACAGGGAGGCTGTGACTTGATAGCGTGGGGGTGGGGCAGCATCTTGTGTGTGCCTCTGCCCCCTGCACACTGGCCTGACCCTCTTCCCTTCAGCCCCCTGCTCCTCAGCCCTAGACCCCCACAGCACACTGAGCTGGGAGCTCCAGGCCTTTTCCAAAGCTGGTTGGGCTTATAACTGCCCTGCGCTGCCCGGGGTCCCGACAGCCTCTGGGCCCGTCCCCCACTGGCCATCCTCTCTCTGCCCTGCTGCCTCAGCCCGGGCTCCAGATGGGGCTCTCTGTGCCCCCCAGAATCACTGGCTGTCACTAGGGCAGGGGTGCTGGTCTGGTGGGTGGAGGCTCAGGCGCCTGCCCCACACCCTGCAGCCCCACCTCAGAGCAGGACGCTGGGGGAGCGTGTCTGCAGCCCGGCGACTGACCCACTCTCTCTCACAGCATCCTCGCCGCCCCAGCCACTGCCGAGCTGGAGCCCCTGGCTGACGGACGCGTGGCCCAGACCGACGAGGTATGCCTCTCCACCTGCCCCCGTGGTCCGTGCTGGCTGCCCTCACAGTCCCCGCCCATGGGGGAGCCTGCTCCACCCTGGTGCTTCTTCAACCCTGGCTTTGACCTGAGGCCAAACCAGTAAGCATGAGGTGACCCAAAACCCCCAGGCCCCCAGATGCCGGGTGGGTTCTAACTCCGAGTGGCCCGTGAGCCCAGGTGGAACTGCCCGTGGAGCTGCCGAGACTGTAAACCCCACAGACGGTCTCATCTTTCTCCTGAAGAGTGGCCGGTGGGTTTGAACCGCCGACCCTTGGACCTGCAGCCCAGCGGTTAACTCACCGCACCACCAGGGCCCGGCACTAAGTGCGGGCTCAGCCAAGAGGTTTCTGTAGATGCCCCTCAGCATGGCTCTGGGCCCTTCGCGCCGGGCTGACGGAAAGGGCACCGGGTTTTATCACACGCCTTCTCTGCCATTTCTAGACCAGGGTCCGCGCTCTTTCCTGGGATGAACCCCACTCAGTCAAGGTGTAGACCCTTCTTGATGTGTACCCAGGTCTGCTCTCTGTTGAGAATTGGGGAAATGGGGGGGAGGGGGTGTCTTCAGAAGGAGCCCTGGTGGTTCAGTGCTTACGTGCTCCCTTCGCAATCTAATGGTTGGTGGTTTGAATCTCCTCACCCCCACCCCCCAGCGCAGTGGCGACTCCTCCCATTCTGACTTGTGGTGTTAGATGCTGTTGGGTTGCTTGTGAGGCTCAGCCACCCTACGTACCGCAGAGCGGTACTGCCCGGCCCTGCACCAGCCTCACACTCGGTGCTGGGTCGGAGCCCGTGGTGGCAGCCACTGGATCCAGACATCTCCTGGGGGGCTTCCTCTTTGAGGCTGACCCTCTACTTTGCTTTCCCCAGGGACAGGCCCCTGATTAGATGTCCAGAGTCAGGGAGGTGGTGTCTTCTCTGTTCCCGAGGGGCCTCTTTCTGGACTTCTCCCACAAGGGCTGCTGTGCTTCTGTAGCCCCCACCACAGCCGGCGGCCCTCCAGGGCGGGCGCAGGCCTCTGCTCTGCTCCGCCTTCCTTACGCACTGCACTGTCCGCCTCTCGCATATAGATGAGGCGTTGGAAATGCCCTGGCTTGGGTCAGGTGGACCTTCATCCCAGAGTGACATTTTGACTTTGGCACACTTGACAGAAATCTTTGGCAGCAGCTGCACCCAATGTAAATAGGCTCTTTGTTTCTGCCACGGCGGCGCCCACGGGTGCTGGTTGCGAAAGGAAACTCCCGCTGACAACTGCAGCATCTTCTCTCCGTTCCTTGGGACGCGGCTGGAATGGTCCAGCCGTGAGGATTAGTTGTGGGCGCTTTTATGTTGAGGTGTCAGCCAACGGAAGGTTGAAACCTTCGATCTTCATCTGGGAGGGCTTTGAGCCCCCCTCGCTTCCAGCGGGTGAGGCTGTGTATCTGCATGACCCAGGCTGTTCATGCGGCCCCCCTCCCCTCCCAACTGCACCCTTTGTGGAGTCCCGATCCTGGGAAGACTGGCACAGTAACACACAGCTTGTTTAACCATGGAGGGAGGGAACCACCCTGGTGCACCCCTTTCCGGATCGTGATTCCCATGCTGTCCCCTCGATCTGTTCTTGGCCTGTGTGCAGAGAGACAACAGCCCCCGAAACCCTGGGGGCTATTGAGGGGCTATTGGACTGCCCTCCAGACGTCTGGGGTTGGGTTGGGTTGGGTTTGATTTCATGAGATACCTGTCCGTACATTTCCCCCCTCTTTTGCGCTCAGTGCCTTGACAGGACTCTGGCTTAACGTGATCTGTGGCCAGAATAAACATTCCATCCCTGACAGAGCCTGTCCCCTCTTCTCTGAGTCCCCCACCCTGGGGAAGCTGGGTCTGCGGGGGGAGAGGGCAGGGCCAGTGTCCTCTGGGTCTTATGTGGAGCAGTCCTTGCACGAACTTCCTGGGGTGGCTGCAATAAGGGACCCCACACTGGGGGGAGGGGGGGCGGAGGCAACGGAGGGCTTCAGGCCTTCAGGATGATTTCCTTCACAGCTCCAGAGGCCAGGAGCCTGGGCGCTTGCTGCAGTCAGCAAGGCTCCCCGCCCTATGAAGGCTCCAGGGGAGGAGCCAACCAGCCTCTCCAGGGGGTTGCCTTTGATCCTTGGCCTGTGGCTGCCCCCACCCCACCTCTGCCTCCATCATGGTCACATGCCCATCCCCCTCTGCCTGTGTCTCCACGTCCTTCACTCAGAAGGACCCCACCCACTGGGTGAGGGCCCTCCCTCCCCACTCCAGGGTGACCTCTTCTCACCCGCTCTTTCTACTGAGACACTGTTGCAGAAGAAGGCTCTGTAGGGACATGAATTTAGAGGTCATTATTGGCCCCATCCACTTCCACGGCCTCTTCCGGGGCATGGTGGCCCTGCGTGTCCTTGACCTGTAGCTGCCGCACCCCCACCTCTGCCTCCACCATCGTCACATGACCGGCTCCCCTCTGTCTGCATCCTCATGTCCTCTCTCAGGACCCCACCCACTGGGTGAGGGACCTCCCAACCCACTCAGAGCAACCTCATCTTCACCCTTTGCTTCTGCTAAGACCCTCTTTCCGAAGAAGAACACCTTCGACGGTCCATGGGGACGTGAATTTAGAGGTCAGTATTGACCCACTCCACCTTCCTGGCCTCTTCCACCTCCCAGTGGCCCCAGGAGTCCTGGGCTGTGGCTGCCCCGCCCCAACCTGGGCCTTTGTCTTCACTGGTGTCTCACTGTGTGTCTCGGACACACACATGCACACACACTGATAGACACACCCAGACACGTGCATGTGCACCCTCCCTCCTCTGGTAGAATGCTGGTCACTGACTCTCCACTGTCCATCCTGCAAGCTCTCCCCTCGAGAGCCTGAATCACATCTGGGGAGATGCTTCTGGCGACTAGAGTCACAGCCACAGGTTTCGGGGTGAGGGCTCACCTCTGCCCTCGTGGGGACCTCGGTCGCACGCCTCCCATCAACACGCAAAGCAACACAGGTGTCCGAGTCCTGGCCTTCCCAGCACTGCCCTTGTTAGGTGGACGTCACGCACGACAGAGCGAAACCCCGCCCGGCCCCGCGCTGTCCCCCAACTCTTCTTACCCCGCCCGGCCCTGTGCTGTCCCCCAACTCTTCTCACGTGTGAGCCCACTGTGGCCGCCATGGTGCCCGTCCTCTTCCTCACTGCCCCTCACAGTACCAAGCACGAGGTCCTGCCCCAGGGCCTGGCCTCTCCGGATCACGTATCCAAAGTACATGTGGTGAAGTCTGGCCATGCCGGCTTCTAAGGGGCATTCTGGCTTCTTCCAAGACAGACCTGTCAGCGGTCCTTTCAGCCACCCATGTGATGCCCAGTGCCCCTCACCAGGCCATCGTTCAGAGGCACTGGGTCTGCCGGCCTTCCTTGTCAGGGTGCGGCTCCCACGCAGAAGGGAGGCGGCAGAAAAGACCGTGGCACAGGGCGGGCGCACCACTGTCCTCAGAGCAGCGCCCCTGCCCTGAAACACTCTAAGGCAGCGGTTCTCAACCTGTGGGTCATGACCCCTTTGGGGGTCAAACGACCCTTTCACAGGGGTCGCCCGATTCATAACAGTAGCAAAATGACAGTGATGAAGTAGCAACGAAAATAGTTTTATGGTTGGGGGTCACCACAACACCAGGAACTGCATGATGGTCTTGGCATGAGGAAGGTTGAGAACCACTGCTATAAGGGGTCTTGGGCAGCAGATCTGCCCATTGCCACGTGCCGCACGCTCTGACTGCCGCCGCCGGGCACCTCGCTTGCGGGTCTCAGCCCACGAGGCCCGTGGCTTGTTTCTCGGCCATCAGGAGGTGGTCAGCCGTCCTGTCTCGAGGGTGTCTATGTGCTGGCAGGGCGGAGTCACCCACCCTGCAGGCGGCAGTCTTGGGTCTGCACCAGCGAGTGCTTCCAGCCCTCTGCGAACAGCACCTTCTCCCCCGCCGGCCCCTTTTCGGGAACCCCCCACCCGCCCCCAGCATCCGCTCCGCTCTCAGATCCTGTCCCCAGGCTGGGCCCTGCCCAGGTTCTCCCCCCCAGCCTTGGCCGGCAGGACCTCCATGACGTGATCTTCCCTCCGCAGGAGGACATGGGGATGACGTACTCAGAACTGTCCGTCTACGGCCGGCTCCGGAAGGTGGCCAAGATGGGGCCCTACAGTATGTTCTGCAGGCTGGTGACCCTGTGGCGAGAGCAGTGCAGCCCCCGGCAGGTGAGGCTCTCCGTGATGTGGCCGAGGGAGGAAGCGGCCGTGCACTGGTAGACTCCACCCAGCCCCACCCCCACCCACCCCCCACCCCCGCCGAGTTGACTCCCAGCAATTGGCCCAGGGCAGAGTGGTCCTTGGCGGATTCCTTCTTCCCGGAAGCCCACGGCCTCATCTTTCTCCCACGCAAGGCGGCTGGTGGGGGGAACTTGACCCCGACGTTACTGGGGCTCCTTTTGCAGAAGCGCAGCGTGGTCTTGGACCCATGTGACTCTGTCTCACCTTCTGCAGCCCCCAGTCCCCACACGTCTTCATCTTCCCAGGGAGGTTTAACCCCACCCAGGTCCCAAACCAACCAAGCCAGCCGCCCTCGGGTGGGCTCCATCTGTACCCGCTGCGGGTCAGGGCGGCGGCGGAGTTCTCAGAAGGGGATCACCAGGCATTTCTCCTAGGGCACCTCTGCTGCTCTTGTCGGGTGCTGCCAGTCCGTGCCAACTCACAGCCACCTGGTGCCCAACAGAACGAGGCACTGCACCATCCTCACCCTGAGCTTAGGTTTGAGCCCGTTGCTGCAGCCCCGGTCCCCATCTGTCTTGTTGAAGGCGTTTCTCTGGGGGCTGCCCCTCCTCTTGACTGGGCAGGAAGTCCTTCTTCGGGACTGGTTCTCGCCTGAGCACGTGACCGAGGTACCTGAGACCAGGTCTCACCGTCTTTGCCTCTCAGCGGCACTGTGGCCATACTTCTTTCCACCGGGATGTGTTCATTCTGCTGTGGCCGTCCAGGGTCATCCAAATGCCACCGACGCTGCTTCAGGCTTCCTCGTTCGTCCGACTTGCGCCTGTACAGGCGGTGACGAGAAGTACCCTGGCCCGGTCAGCCTTCGTGCTCACAGCCATACCCTGGCTCTCCCACTCCCACGGAGGTCTTGTGCTGTGGATTTACCCGGCGCAATGAGCCCCCTCGTCTCCTGACTGCTGCTTCCAGGAGCATGGACGATGGCAGCTCTGGGCAGACTCAAACCTCCCAACCTTGGAGCTCCTGTCGGGGAGTTCTCATCCAGGTGTAGGAGTTCATTAGGAATGTGATCACCGCTGTTTTTCAGCCTTCTGTTCGCTCCCGTCTGGCAGCGCCATCCCTCCTTATGGAAACAGCCTTTGCGTACAGCAGCGGAGACCCCCTTTCCCAAATGTGGGTGGAGCATTTCCCATCTCCGTCCTGCGTTAGCACAGCCTAGCGCCACCTTTCCCCGCCTCCCCTGCAAGAAGGGAGTGCAAGCGAGCCGCGGCACCCAGGTGTGCGTCAGCGTAGGTCGGTGCTCTGGAGGGTCCTGTGGCTGGTTGTTCCAAAGTTGGTCTGCAGGCCTTTCTTCTGAGGTTCCCCTGAATCCCTGGGTGGAGCAAGTGGTGCCCCGAAAGGCTGGGGGTTTGAATCCACCCAGAGGTGCCTTGGAAGCAAGGCCCAGTGGGCTCTTCTGAAAAGTCGGCCTTTTAAAGCACTGGGAGGGCGATTCTGTTCCGACACTTGGGAGGGGAGGCACCTGAGTGGATCTTCTTATTCCCTGCAATCGCATTGGGCAAGGCGTGTCTTTTATGCAGAGAGAGGTGGACGTCCCAGGTGGCCGCCATCCCACACCTTTTGTGGGAAGTCAGGTTCTAGCTGCCAGTCTGCTTTCTGTCCATCTTGTTAGGACTGGAACCCACGGGCAGGCTGCTCCCATGGGAAGTTCCTGGGACCTCCCCGTTTGGGCCCTTGAAGGTGGATCCAGGGCTTAGATCGGGGAGCCTAAGGTGGTGTCCCTCAGCCCTCAGGTCTGTGGAGGGCTACTGACTGAAACCCCCTCCCGTCTGCCCACCCACCAGGTAGCAGAAAAGGTGCAGCGGTTTTTCTCAAAGTACTCGGCAAACAGACACAAAATGACCACGCTCACGCCCGCCTACCATGCGGAGAGCTACAGTCCTGATGACAACAGGTTTGACCTGCGGCCCTTCCTGTACAACACCAGCTGGCCCTGGCAGTTCCGCTGCATCCAGAGGGAGGTGAGGAAGCCTGTCCTGGCACCAGGGCCGCCTGTGGGGCAGGGGAGAACTGTCCATGGGGTTTCCAAAACTGCCCGTCGCTGTGGGACCAGGCAGTCTCACCTCACCTCGCTCTTTCAGGGCGCCTAGGTTCAAACCGGCAGCCTTGCAGTTAGAAACCCAAACCCTTAGGCCATTGCCCCCACCCCTTGTTTTTTTGTTTTGTTCATTTGAACATTTTTTGGTGAGTGTTTGGGGGGTGACAATCTCCTGTGTAAATCCTTCTCTGGTCACCATTTACACACTGTGACCGTCTCCTGTGTAAATCCTTCTCTGGTCACCATTTACACACTGTGAC